AAACCTTTAATCCAAAATAGTTTAAATTGCAGCGGAAGCTTAATATTCAATGGGTGTTACCGCCACACTCGGTTCTCACATAACCGAATGCACAGGCTAGATCACAATCCAACATTAAACATAAATACGGAGTTCAAAACATAATCAAATAAAACAATAACAAGTTCTTAAATTCAGGTTTATTAAAGATAACTAGTAACGAATCTAAGTGATCTATCGGGGCTCTCATCATCAAGCATGCTCTTCATCACCTGCACCAAATTAAGTGCAGAAAAGAAAACAAAGCAAAGAAATAAAAGTTAGCTTTTTAGCTAAGTAAGACCCACCCAACCCCGTAAAATAATATAGTTTGAGAATGTAGTTCTTGATACATACATAAAAGTCCAAAAAACGGCGAGGTAAAACAAATGTTTTCATAATTAAATAGTATAAGTAAGAAGGACGGTTTCAAACAAACCCACATTTAAATACTTCTTTTCAAACTCATACATGATTTTCATCCACCAAACTCATATCCCCTAATTGTTTCTACATTATTTTAAGGATGGGGGAGTTCCCAAAAAGAGAACCCAGACCAAGCGAATACGTGGTCACCAACTACCACGCATCACCCCGAGTGTCCCAGACGGTTGCATAAGCTACTGAGATCACCTATGAACTGACCGATAAACCCGGACCCCACCACCCACCAATTGGAAACTGAACTTCTACCTTAAATGTGCACACCCCCTAAAAGGGATTCCAAGCCCTCCGAGTAGTAAGAAGTCCAAGTAGTCGAGACTAGCTAAGTCTCTACCGACTACCCTAGGAAAAGATAAAAGTGGACTAGGTGCTACTACTACCACAAAACCGAAGCCAATAATAATATCCAAGTATCCAAAACCGCCAAAGAAACTATCCACCAGATAATAGTAGCACTACCCTAGACCACAGTTCTACATTTAACCGGATGTAGAGCCGAACACCACGGATTACTCCCGGGTGCTCAAAGTATTCAGAAATCATTAATTACAATTTTTGGCAAAAGTTTCAATACAACACTTTCCAAGAATAGCATCTATCACCACCACCAATTAGGGTATTCCAAACCCAGAATATATTCTCAAAATATGGTAGTAAAGATGTTCATAACATAGCTCAGTTCACACCAAAGCATTCTCCAAAATTTTCCAATCCAAATTAACTATTTCCTAGAAATCACAATTTTTGTCAAGCAACTAATTTGATAAATTTACCTTAAATCACACGTTCATAAATCCCCATAAAATCATAGATCATCATATCCATACTATAATAACCGAAATATTCATAAAATTTCATAAAGAAACTCAAATCGTAGCACAAACCCTAATTACTACATATAGGGGCAAAATAGTAGTTTTGGTTGCAATAGTCCTTACCTCGAGGCTAGCAACGAATCCTAAATGTCAAACCTAGCTTGAGGAGTCACTCACACGTCCCTAGGAAGTTATAGGGTCGAAGGATCACAATTTAGGAGAAAGAAATCAAGAAAACGGATGAACGATGCGAATTAGGCAACAAAAACGCTTACCGAAAGATTGTATCGTTTGATCTCGTCCTTGGACTCAAAAATCGTATTGGATATGTTAATATTAAAGTTTTGGAAGAGATAGAGCTTGAAGAGGCGGTTCTAGGGTTTTTGGAATGAGGAAAATCGGATTAGGGATGTATTTATAGCGAATTTCCGAAGTTGGGTCGTACTAGGAAAAAATAGGGACGCACGATCGTGCGTACCTCCCTACGCACGATCGTGCGTACCTGGCAGTAGCTATTACGCTCAATTTTTATGCCACGCACGCCGTGCGTGACCCCACGCACGCCGTGCGTGACCCCCAGACGCCCCAAACCTTAGTTTTTGCTCCGTTTCTTCCCCGTTTGCACCTCCCCTTGGTCCGAGACACTAAACCAACCATAGTAAACTATCCCAAGACCATCTAAACGATATGAAACATAATTTTAATTACTTTTCAAATTCTACCAAATTTTTGGGGTATTACATTTATGACCAAATAAGATTGTTTATAAAAATGTGATTAGTGACTAGATTGTAGTAGAATAAAAATAGACTGTGTTCACGTTTGAAATTTAACTTACCATTACACTAGATTGAATTAACGATTTGTCATATTGTGTAAATAAATTTTATTTTAATAATATTTTTTTGAAACTCTCATATTTAATTCATAGATAGAGAATGTTATTCTTTCATAATTTAATAATGATGATTCAATATAATCCAATTAAAAAGCATTATTGTAAAGTTGGTTTTAACGAAATTGAAAATAGATTTTGATATAGATGGACAATAAATATAGACATGAAATCAATTACAAAATCTTAAAGATACAATAGAAATATATTTTCATATATAATTGAAATATAATACGGAGTATACATGAATGAGAAATATAATATTAGCCGAGTGTGTGCATTATTTTGTTATTATTAATTGTTTAGTTAACTAAGCAGTTGATGGATAATTGGAGCTCAAATGGTACGTAATATATTGCTAAAAAGCAACACTTGGACCAATAAGTGAATGTTGTTGAGTGGATGGGAAGGCGAACATCATTGAGCCACTCATGGGAAGGCAAACATCATTCAGGTGACTGAGGATCGCTTCCCCCGTGCCCTAATTCCTGAGGTGGGCTAGGATTAATTCTGGAATGGGCTAAACACTAAATCTATACCTATACTAATTAAAACCAACAAATTGGGCTGGGCTGGAGCCCACCCCTGCCCTATGTATGATCCGCCCATGCCAATAAGTGAGCTACCCTGTTCGCGGATCTTTTACAATGTATGACTTCTAAGCTAGCTTCATTGTGAACAGTGTGTCTAATCTCTTCAAGGATTGTGTCAAAATACGAGTCTAACAGTTGCGGATTGTGTCAAAATACGAGTCTAATCTCTTTAAGCCGGACTAAAAATCATACTACCTCCGTCCCGAATTGATTTGCAAATTTGACTTTTCTTGGTCAAACAGTTGCGTTTTGTTCACTTAATTAGAATACCAATTTTTAATTATATTCTAATTTGGAGTTTACAACTTTGAAGAGATTTTGATGTAGTTTATGAATATGTAAATTTTATTTATTAAAAATTAAATTAATTATGACTAAGGAGGGTTGATTTTTATTATAGGTTGACAAAAAATTGTTGACTTTGCAAAACAAATTGGGACGGAGGGAGTATTTTAGAATGTATGTGCTTTTTTTTATCTGGAAGGCAAACCACCAAAATCAGTGGGGTAAATACCGGGGAAAATTTACCGGATTTTATTAAAAATAAAGTTCATAAAAAGGAGGATGACTAGACTAGAACCTCCCACTTAGAGGCATACCTCTTCGTAAAACAAACAAAAAAGTAAAACAAAAATAGAAATGAAAACAGATCCGTCCAAAAAAGCATTACATTCTAATAGAAGGTAAACCAAATTTATCCATGTAATATATAGAGGCCTTGTTTGGTAAATGACTGTTAGTTGTTGCTGTTAGCTGGTTGTCTCAGCTGATTCCTACCAGCTTGTTGTGTTAGTTCATTGTTTTGACCGGCTGGTTATGTTAGGTTATTATAAATAACTGTTTGGTAAAATTGGTTGTTTCGAAATGGCTGATAGAGTGTAAAAAGACATATAAAGACATAATAATACTCATTGTATTTTATTATTTCTATGAAGGAAAATTTTATAACTATTGTTACTTCAACGATATAAATCATTTTTATAACTAGAAATTTTAAAATTTGTTGAATAAAATCTATTTTAATATCTACTTTGATATATCGAATGTTCATCATACTACAAAAATTTATAGTATCTAATTTTATAATCACTGAATCATCTAAACCAGAAACATCAAATTAGTTCAAGATAGAGAGCATAAGTAATAATATAAAATATTAGTTGAGTATATATTATTTGGGAGATAGTACTACGTATTTGGTTAAACAAGTTTTGTTTAAAATAATTAGAGTAATTATTAGTATATACAAAGTATTACTTAAATGATAAAATTTAAAAAATGCTAACTCAAAACAATGAAAGCAAAAGGAGTGAAAAGAAGAAAAAGTGGTAAGCAAAATAATTGGGTTGACTAGGTTAAAAAAACGTGCAAAACCACAATGGGGATAAATTGGAGCTATACCCTTATGGGAATAAATTGAACCAGCCGAATGAAGAAGTTGCTCCCCTTAGCTTCTTCAACCATCCATTTTTTCAGTTTTTCAAACTCAACAAGCTAATTTTAAAAGTCATTTACCAAACATTATTATTAGCTTCTTTGACTAATCAAAATAGCTGAAATGGGCCAAACAAGCTAAAAGCTGGCTGTTAAGCCATTTGCCAACCAATCAGTTGCACAACTAAGCTTTAGAAAATTATTCAACATTAGTAGGAATTCGTTCATATAATTTTTTTACACACAAAAAATTACGTTAAAAAAATACAGAAATTAGGGTGGGTTCACATTTGGGATGACTGTCGCATATGTCTATAGTTAATATTATACGTAGTGTATATTCAATTCAATTGAAATGTTGCCCCCAATATGTATTGTTTCTCGATCCGTCACAGATCCGATATATCATATCGTACCAAATCACCTCTAGTAAAACGAGAAAATGACGATTAAAAATGAAAATATTTTGATCATTTCTCTCTCTTTGCAAAACTCAACCACATAATTTTTGATTTTCTTATTTCTCACCTAATTTGAAATTGACAAAATCCCGCAAGCTAAAACAGGTAACATTGGAACTTGGAAAGCGTCACCGTAAACGTCTTCCAATGGCCAATGCCCCATTTTTCAATGAGCGGTAGTAATTAAAGTGTACGAAAATGATGATTAATTGAACTTTAAAGATGAAAACTTTATGCTTAATTTGCTCGCGAATGTACCATCATCATTAAGAACATGCACCACATTATAAATAGGACGATGTCATAAATTAATTAAACATCTCACTAACATTTCTGCCACAGCTAGCTTAATTAACTTGTGATCGAATGACGACTGAAGGGCAAACCCCCATTATACAGGAGGATCACCTGGTCCCCAAAGAGCCTCCAACAGGTATATAGAAATGGGCTTGCTCCACCAAAACATTGGTATTATAATTAGCTAGGCCATTGAGGAAACGTTCCTCTTAGTTTTTTTTATTTTTGTGTAAGATAAATATATTTTAATTCATAATAAAAACACAAACTAATACGGAGTAACAAATAACTTAATGAAAAATATATCACTCAAGGTTGTTAGATTGTTATACGAAAACTGTTACGATCGGTATAGGACAAAATCGAAAAAAACCATAAACAAGAGAAGTGGAAGATCTACATTTGGGCTATCAGTGATCTATGTAGGACTAAATAAAAAACGACATAATTCGAAAAAACCGCATAAATAAGAGAAGTGTAAGATCTATAATTTTTTTCAACTCTTTTAGTATAAATTTATCATTTTATGTATTTAATTCATATTACTAATGTTTAAGTATAATATAATTAGATTGAGTGCACCCAGCACACCACATTTTTGTAAGGACTTAAAGCAAAAAAATATTATAGGAGGATGAAAAGCAAAAATATATTTTTTGAAGGGCATAAAACAAGAATCACCTATTTTGTTTAAGCCATTATATTTTGTGTAGCTTATTTCCTTGGAAACCCACACGATATAAACGTGGAGTTTCAAGCCTAACTAACAAATAAGGCATAATATATTATACGGAGTATATACTTATTATTCCATTGCAGCTGCGAGAGCTTGTGCAATGACAACTAAGGGCCAGGGGCAAACCACCATGACAGAGCACACGATCCCAAAACAGCCGCCTCCAGGTTTATATCTATAAAATTATGCCACAAGTTGCTTGCTTATTACTACCAAGTACTATATTAATTTCAGAAATTGCCTTAAATAGGAGTAAAAACGTTTTGAAATTCCAAAATAGGATTATCATGTTTTTTATTCCCTGAATAGGAGTAATCTGCCAAGTTTGGAAGAAAATGTCATGTTTAAAGGTCAGTAATGTCAAACTTGGCAGAAATTTACTCCTATTTAGGGAATAAAAAACATGATAGTCCTATTTTGGAATTTCAAAACGTTTTTACTCCTATTTAGTGAATTCTCTTTATTAATTTCAACTTTTGTGGTTGACTGGGGAAAAATAAAATAAAGGTTATCCGGCTAAAGTCTCCCCAGCAGGAAAGGAGAAGATGGACTATTGGCAGTGCTATATGCCCCAGCCCAAAGGAGATTATGTATATGCAGATCATTCATGGCTGCACAACATCATTCATTGGATTTTCTGCTCCTGCTGCGACTGACTGATGCATATATGCATGCCACAAATTAGTGTGCATCGAATTATTTATATATGAATCCACACTTATACTTTTTATTTTATTAATTAATGTACGTACTAACGTACGTAATCCTTGGCTAGGCAAGTACGTATATATACGAACTATATGTTGTACTACTCTACGTATGCTTACTACCTACCACGTAATCCTATATCGTACGGACTATACACGTAGTATACGTCTTACTGAAACTCTCTTTTGTAAACTCGATGTGGAAGCTCAATATTTGAGAACTCTCCAAATAGTTATTTTTGTTTGAAAGTTGAATTGTTGTTTCTCATTTCACATTTCTCCATGATTTCTACTTAATTTCCGTGCAATAGGGTATTCATTACTCATTCGTTTATCCATTTGTACTCTCTAGTACGTAGTAATTCTTTTGGGTTGCTTTAAAGCAAGATCTTCGTTTATCTCTTGTTTCTGCCTTAATTATGCAAATGAGTGAATGCTATATTATACAAATTGAAGTGTGTTTAGGAAATGGTTCATAACATTCCTTACTGTGAGAAATAAAAACAAATATTAACCATCCATTTTAATAAATTAAAGGCTATAAAAGGATTAGGTGCACGGAAGTACAGTGGGAGTGCAAACATTTTAAAAATGCCCTTGGACTCTTTAAGTGTCAATTAAATGAGCATATATAGCTGTTGCAAATTAATTTTAGAAAATAATTACATATTATGATTAAAGTAAAAGTTCTTTATAAAAATGTGCTCTTTTAAGTGTAGTGACTATATGAGTAACTTTATTCATAGTAATTTTACACTTGATCATAACATTATCTAACAACGTTATATTTATGAATGAGAGTTGATAACCTTAATTTATGTCAATACACTTTGTGCATCACAAGTTGTACATTCTTCTTAGAAAATGGAACCTACTTTCTTATGTGACTTCTTTACCCTTAATACACTAACTGTTGAAGTTAACTTCCGTTAAGTCATTGGCTCATTGCTAATAATCTAATATGTAGGCAATCCTTCGTAATATGTACATGACTACTTCCCGGACTTCTGCACTTATCTTACTTGATTACAATTTTTTTATTGTAATGAACAATATTAAGTTTGAAATTTAGTCATTGTGATTTTTTAGTTTAAACCCTTGCTACTGCTTAAAAAAGTTTAATAGGAGTAAATAAAAAAAATTTTAAGTTTGAGATTTTGTCATTGTGATTTATACATTATTTAAGAAAAATTCATAACAGTATCATATATAATTTTCCCTCCGCCCCGCTAAGATTGTCTATTTTCTTTTCGATTTATTTTACTAAGATTGTCTTGTACCAAATTTGGTAAAATTGTATAGTTCTAAATCATTTTTAGTTTGTCAATTTAGTATCAACCGCATAAACTTATTTGGTTTTAAAAATTGCACCACAATCTCATTTTCTAATGTTAGTGAGACATAAATAGTAATTTCTAACAACAATATATTTGTGAATGAGGGTTGATACCCTTAATTTAAATCAAAACACTTTGTGCATCACAAGTTGTACATTCTTCTTAGAAAATGGAACCTACTTTCTTATGTGACTTCTTTACCCTTAATACACTAACTGTTGAAGTTAACTTCCGTTAAGTCATTGGCTCATTGCTAATAATCTAATAGGTAGGCAATCCTTCGTAATATGTACATGACTACTTCCCGGACTTCTGCACTTACTTGATTACAATTTTTTATTGTAAAGAAGAATATTAAGTTTGAAATTTAGTCCTTGTGATTTTTTAGTTTAAACCCTTGTTACTGTTTCAAAAAGTTTAATGGGAGTAAATAAAAAGAATTTTAAGTTTGAGATTTTGTCATTGTGATTTATACACTATTTAAGAAAAATTCTAACAATATCATATAGGAAAAATTGAAAATAATAATCCTAACTATTGCCGGTCCGTTGAAAATAATCTCAACTATTGATTATTTTTGTATAATCCCAACTATATAGACTATCCGCCAATAATGGTCCATGACCATATATTACCTCTATAAAAAGTGAATTTTAAATAGAAATTAAGCGTAAAAATTAAAAGTTGAGATTATTTAGAGGGATTACTTGTTATATCTCACCCCATCCTCTTTAGAAATTACAAGAATTTATTCATAGGGACCATTATTGGCAGAAGGTCCCTAAAGTTGGGATTATTCTGTAATAATCAATAGTTGGGATTATTATGAGCGGACCGTCAATAGTTGGGATTATTACTATCAATTTTTCCTATCATATATAATTTTCCCTCCGCCCCGCAAAGATTGTCTATTTTCTTTTCGATCCGTTTCACTAAGATTGTCTTGTACCAAATTTGGTAAAATTGTATAGTTCTAAATCATTTTTAGTTTGTCAATTTAGTATTAACCGCATAAACTTATTTGGTTTTAAAAATTGCACCACAATCTCATTTTCTAATGTTAGTGGGACATAAATAGTAATTACTTAGAAAATGAACATTATATTAGAATTGGGCAAAAATTGTCGCGCTTTGCGCGACCAAACGCTAGTGCTATGATAAGTATTAATCATATTTTTGTAAACAAGTACTCCGTATTTTTTCTGAGGAAACAGTCCAACTCAGCTGGTCTCCGACTCATACCATTCTCCCTTATGGGAGGTCCCGGGTTCAATTCTCAATGGAGTGAGATTGATCCCGGTTTACCCAGGGCCCCCAAACCCCCCTCCCCGATGCCTCCTGGGTCAAAAAAAGTATTCTTTCTGTAATTTTTTGAAAAGAAACTCTGATTTTTATTTACAAGATATAACTATTACTAATACCATTTTTTTAGTAATTACGGAAAAAGGTTAAGACCGAAGCATAGTCAAGCGTGATAGAGAGCGGGCCCTAGAGGAAACCCTAGGCGTCCATCCTCAACCCTCTTCAAGATCCGATTTTGGAAGATGAAGACATTCTCTATGCAATGAAAGATCGAATCAAAGGTTTTTCTATGCTTTCACTCTTTTTCAATTTCTACTTTCAAGGAATTTGGTCCGGCTTCTTCATTGGACGAGAACTTTGTCCGCTTCATGTGAGTGTGTGGTATGTTATTCTCCTAACAATGTCTAGAGGCTGTGCGTTTCTAATCGGTGTAATCGATCTGGTGAAGCTTTTTCAACCTTGTTGTTGTGATTTTTCAAATACTCGCCCAACACCTGAACCACCGCCTCACTGTGGGAAGAAGATGATGATCAAATGGATCTCCTTTTCGGTGGCTGGTCAAACCGATGCTTCAAGAAATTTCTACTCGACTGATTTCCCTTTGTTGGTTGCTGGTCAAACCAATTCTCCCTTTCCGGTGGCTGGTGAAGCCGGATCTTTTAGTTGTAATTTTTTAATTTCTCTTTGGAGTAGCAAGAAGATCAGAAAGGCTGTTAGATTAGACTACATTATTGCGGGGTTAGCGATCTGGAAGGATTCATTGAATCTGTTCCATTCTATGTCTCATCCCATTGTAGCCTCAGGCTATTCATTCTCTTGTATTTTTGCTATCGCTTAATAATAAATTAGTTATTTGATTTAAAAAAAAACTATTACTAATACCAGGATTAATTTCTAATTTAGTCATTGAATTGTCATTCTTTATTTTCAAACTATATACCCCTCATCTACAAGTACTAGGGGTGCAAACGAGTCAAGCCGAGCTCAAACATGAGTATGCTTGAGTTTGAGTTTGATAAGAATTCACGATCTCGAGTTCGAGCTGGAGCTTGGACGAGTTAAGTAATTCGGGCTCGAACTCGTGGCAAGCTTAGCTCGAGCTCAACTCGAGCTTGGTTTGAGCTCAGGTCAAGTTTTGCTAAATACTTTTATGGGTTTGAGATTGAATAAGATGTCCGAACTCGAGCTCAAATTCGAAGTAAAAATAAATCTATTTTCAAGTTATTGATACTCCGTATTACATTTATACATATAAAAAATAATAATATTTGTATTTAATCATTCTCATTTTTCAATTCATCTCTCATTCACCGACATTTGTATTCTTTATTTTATTATCAAGCCGAACCAAACTCGAGTCGAGCTAGAATATGACCGAACTCGAGTCAAGTTTTTCCGGATGGATGGATGGATGGATGGATGGATGGATGGATGGATGGATGGATGGATGGATGGATGGATGGATGGATGGATGGATGGATGGATGGATGGATGGATGGATGGATGGATGGATGGATGGATGGATGGATGGATGGATGGATGGATGGATGGATGGATGGATGGATGGATGGATGGATGGATGGATGGATGGATGGATGGATGGATGGATGGATGGATGGATGGATGGATGGATGGATGGATGGATGGATGGATGGATGGATGGATGGATGGATGGATGGATGGATGGATGGATGGATGGATGGATGGATGGATGGATGGATGGATGGATGGATGGATGGATGGATGGATGGATGGATGGATGGATGGATGGATGGATGGATGGATGGATGGATGGATGGATGGATGGATGGATGGATGGATAGATAGATAGATAGATAGATAGATAGATAGATAGATAGATAGATAGATAGATAGATAGATAGATAGATAGATAGATAGATAGATAGATAGATAGATAGATAGATAGATAGATAGATAGATAGATAGATAGATAGATAGATAGATAGATAGATAGATAGATAGATAGATAGATAGATAGATAGATAGATAGATAGATAGATAGATAGATAGATAGATAGATAGATAGATAGATAGATAGATAGATAGATAGATAGATAGATAGATAGATAGATAGATAGATAGATAGATAGATAGATAGATAGATAGATAGATAGATAGATAGATAGATAGATAGATAGATAGATAGATAGATAGATAGATAGATAGATAGATAGATAGATAGATAGATAGATAGATAGATAGATAGATAGATAGATAGATAGATAGATAGATAGATAGATAGATAGATAGATAGATAGATAGATAGATAGATAGATAGATAGATAGATAGATAGATAGATAGCTAGGTAGGAACAAGAAGCGTGTTTTTGTACCTTTTAAAAGTTTAGGGGTATATATGCACCTCCACATAAATTTCGGGGGTACATATATTCCAATAAATAGAACATATATGAATATATTTGTTCTCATAGTCATATTAATTACAAGGATATATTTGTACCTTATCCCTAAAAACATTTGTCTAAAAAATATTAT